AAAAAAAAAGAGGAGTCCTGTATCCACTTCTTTTTTTTTTAATAACAAAATCCTCTTCATTGAAGGGCCCAGTGCTCAAGGCAAAGTACAGAAGCAATGCGCACCCGGAGGCAGCATGGCCTCCACTACCCACCCTGCAGAGGAGCCATGCCTCCGTCCAAAAACCAGTCGTGACCGCTACACCGCTCATGTAGTGAGCAGCAAGGAAAGGACCAAACCAACCCGGACACTCCGTCTATGCTAGCCAACGCAGGGCAAGAAGCCCAAGTGCATTCGAATTTTATGACAGCCGATCTAGCAAATGCCTTCTCACAAACCATTCTCTTCTAGTCGAGGTAGATCAGATTTCTCAAGTCCAGCCCAACTCTACCCAGCAGCGTTGGCAGATCAACAGAAAGGCTGTTTCTCACCAGCTCAGTTCTTTTCCTCAAAAGATGCCAAAGCACAGCAAACCGAACGGACTTGTAAACATAGCGATGACAGGAGGAAAGCTGCAACACCACAGAGCCAAGCAACTGTGGCATACTGCGTAGCCACACGGGCCTGCAGGGCCCGTCCCGCACTTTCAGCCTAAAAGCCTAGAAAATAGGGCTTACAGGCCCCCTTGTCGTTTCAGCCTGAAACTCAAAACGAGGGCCTGCAGGCCCTATTTCGTTTTCAGTCTATAACAGGGCTTTTCAGCCTGAAACGGAGGGCCACTTTCGGGCCCTCATAAGATCGACCTACCCTAAACCTCAGGCACAAAACCAGGGTTTTGGGAACAGGCTATTTCTGGCCTGTTCCCCATGACAGCCTTGAGCAGGAGCTGCAGCGGCAGCCCCTGACTGCCTTCGGCATTGGCAAGAGCAGCCTCCTGGACTGCATCGCCTGCAGCCAGGAGGTACCCGAGTAGCACATAGGAAGTTCCCATGCACCTCACGGGTAGGTAGTTGGACAGTAGGACGAGTAGTCTTCAGGATTCAGCCGCAGCACTCAGGAGGAGCGCTGGCAGTAGTAGTGGCGCTAGCAGTAGTCTTCAGCGCTGGGCGCTCATAGCTGTAGGAGTAGTCTTCAGCGCAGGGCGCTTATAGCTGGTAGTGGTAGTGTTGGAGAGAGATGGCTGGCGGAGGCCAGC